TCTCTCTCTCTCTCTCTCTCAATAAATGTTTACAATAAATTTTATTTGACGTGAAAAAGTTTATATCTTAGCCAATTATAAACCATTGCCAAAAAAAAATTTTATTTTTTTTTCTTAATGTCGCTTCTCGTCCTTACTTTTTTTTTTATTCTCATTCTTGTCAGTCATTTTTTAAAGTTTTGAAATTTTATTTAAAATAATAATAATAATAATAATAGTAATAATAATAATAATAATTACAAAAAGTTGAGTTTAAAAAAAAAAATGAAAAAAGTATGTCGGTCGTGTGAAATGATTGCTAACATTAAAAATACTCGTATCGAAATTTTTCCTTTTTTCCTATTTTTTTCCTTTTTTAAAAAAGGAAAAAAGGAAAAACTCTCTCAAGGTGGATTTTTATATTTAAATATTTAAATAATCTTCCTAAGCATCAAAAATTTTTTTGTACGTAAGGTAAAAAAAAAAAAAAAATATTTCGGTTGTGAAAAAGTTTTTCCTTTCCTTTTTTTCCTTTTTTTTTTTTTTTCCTTTTTGTCTTTTTTTTTCGATTACATTAATTTTTAAATTATATTCAATTTACTCAAGTGCATTAAAAAAAAAATTTTTTTTAATATAAATTTTTTACTTAACACGCACGTGTATTACAACACACCCGTTAATTACACGTGTAATTTAATTTTCAAAAGTTTTCTTTTAAAAAAAACCGTCATTTCTCGCAAAACACAAATTGTTTTTTTTATAATGAAAAATAAGAAAATGAAATTACTAAACTGGGGAGAGAGAGGGGGGAAACTCTTTTTAATAATAATAATAATAATAATAATATGCATAATTAAGTTAGATTTTTTTTTTTTTCTTAAACCCGCGGCTAATAGTTTACCCTGGAAAAAGGGAAAAGGGTAATAAAAATACGTTAAAAAAAAAGAAAAAGACGAAATCCTTAATACGTAATAAATAATAATAATAATAATGATAATAATAATAAATGTTTAAACACAACGGGGGACGGGGGAAAAAATAACGACGTTTAATTATTTTACTCGAATAATAATAATAATAATAATAATAATATATAATAATTAAAGCGAATATAATAATTTCTTTCTACTTCCTTAATTTTTTCTTCTTTTCTACAACTCGTAAAAAAAAATTTATTTGTTTTATATTTTTTTCCCTCCCCCTCCACTCCCCACCACCACCCCGGGGGGGTTTCGACCTCATCGAGACAAAAAAAACATTTATCCTCCCTCCCACCCTTTGCTCCCTCCCTATTATTTGTGATTCCAAATCGTTTCTTTATCAATTTTATCTCTCGAAATTTTTCATTCGATTCTCGTTTGTTTTTATATTTAAATTTTTTTTTTTTGGTCGATAGATAAAACGTATAAAAACCAAAACAAACAAACAAACAAAAATATAAAAATATAAAAAATGTTTTTTTTTTTTTTTTTTTTAACACCCATTATTATTTGTTTCTATTACTAGTTTTTTTCCCCCCTCAAAAAATAATGATAATAACAATAAAAATATATATATGTAATGTTATCATTGTAAATTTTTTTTTTTTTTTATACCAATAAAAAATAAATGTAAATAATTGGATTAGTAATAATGATAATAATAATAATAATTTTTTAATATAAATAAATTACAAATAATGAATTTGTTTATTTTTTTTGTAAAATTAAGTTCAACGAACTAATGAATGTAAATGGTAATTTTGTAAAAAAACATTTTAAGAAAATATTTATGAAATAAATATTATTTCCTGCTTTTTTTAAATACATACGATTCGTCCATCAATACACACACACACATACACACACATGCACTTGTAGATCATTTCACACACACACACACACACACTTGCAGATCATTTCATACAAACACACACATTCACACACAGACACACACACACACACATGCACATACACATGCAGATCATTTCACACATGAAACTAGTGTAATTGAGAATTTTTTTTAATTTTAAATTTGTTAGAATAATAATCCAAAAAGTTTTTATTGTTGTTGTTGTTGTTGTCATGTCCCCCCATCAAAAATATTAAAAACAAATGATTATGTTATGTTGGTTCATACAGATTATTATTGTTCCCCCTTGTATAAAAATGTTTGTTTCTTGTCATTAAATAATAATATTAATTTGTGTGATTTAACACACCACCTCCCTATTACACACACACACACACACATTTTTCTAATAATTTATATTAATAAAAAAAAAAAAAATTCTTTTTTATTTTTTTTGTGTGTTATTTAGTCTCTTGGAAAGTTAATAAGAAATAATTTTGTTTGATTTGTTTTTTTGGTAAATGTTATTAGGAGGTATTAATTATACATTAAATAAAATAAACTTACCCTCGTTTACTTGATTGATTATTATTAAATGATGAACTATATCCTTCGCTATCTTCAATATTTGAAATACTTGAATTTGACGTCCATTTATTATATTCTTTTGAATTTATTTCAATATTTTTTTTTATAACTTCTATATAATTATACATTTCAAAATGAAAAAGAGGAAAAAAAAAATTAGCGGGAAATATTTATGAACAAAAAAAAATTACATTTTAAACGTGAACACTTTATGTTTTCAACACTTTTTTTTTATCTACGTGACACATAATTTTATTTATTATAAAAATTTTTATTTAATTTTCCATCTCGCCTTCGTTTCCGATGAAAAATAGACCGGGAAGTGAATAATAAAAAAAAAGAACTCCTTACCGAACCGCGAAGTTTCGTCGACGCAAGTCCAGCTTTTGTCGTGTCAATAGAAAAAGTTAATTTTACAAACGTTATTTATTTTTATGTATTTGTAGTGCACATACACATATTTATATTTTTTTTTAATTAAAATATATGTTATTTATAAATATTAAATAATGAAAATATTATAAAATTAAATTTCTAAAATGGATGACGCTACACTATTAAAGTAAGATATCATTGAAAAGGTAAAAATTACCCAAACGTTTTGTTAAAACCTAACATTTTTTTGCTTTTTTTTTTTTTTTTTTTTAAGGTTAGCAGAGGCTGAAATATTAAAAGAAGTAAAAAGAGCCTCTGTCAGACATTCAATAGTTGGAATATCTGGATGGCAGCCATGTCCAAAACCAAATCAAGTTTTTTTAAAAAATACTTTACTTCAAGCAATCACAAGTAATAGGCTATTAGATAAAAAATATGAAAATGGTAGCGAAAACAAATTTAAAAAAAAAAAAAACATACGTGAAAGAAAATTATTGCAAAAAAATAAAAAAAAAGAAATAAACATTGTGTTTCAAAAACCTAAAAAAAGTCAAGTGAAAAATGATTCAAACGATGTTAAAAACGAATACAAAAAAAAAATTTCTATAAAAAAAAATTCAAAACAGTTAAAAGTCAATAGTTCAAAATCGAAATTAAATTTAAATAAAAGGTAGTAATTTGATTTTTTTTATAAATATTCATTAGTGTGTCAAATGCATTAAACAAATGCTTATATTACAACTTTTTATGGATTTTTTTTTTTTTTTTTGATATTAATATTTTTAAAAAAATGCATTAAAACAATTTGATAATGTGCCATAATAAAACTAATTAAACTTAAATGTAGATTTTTTATGTTTACCATTCTATTGTAAACAATGATAAAGTTTCGATATTTTTTTGATCAGTGTTCTTCAATTATGATTATTATATGTTTTTAGACATTATTTACTTTTAAATTATTTATACATAGCTATTTTTTGAAAATATTTATATACATATGTAAGTGATAACATCAATGCATCTCACAAATAATACAAATGGAATCTTTCATTATCATGTATTGAATAAAAACCTGCTTGTTTAAGTCGCAGAAATCTTAATTTTCTAATACGATTAAAAAAACAATAAAATAAAACTTTAATAGATAAAATAAATATTTAATAGAAAACAATTAATTATCTATAAAAAAAAAAAAAAATAATTAAAAAATTGTTTACAATTTAATTATAATTAAAAAATATATAGTACATGAATTTCATTTAAATTTAAAAAATATAATTTTTTTTTTTTTTTATAAATCTATATTTTGGCTTATTAATTAATTAAAATTTTTTTAATTTCATTTAAACTTTTTAATTATTAACAATAATAATTATTTTATAATTATATTTTAATCGATATAATAAAATTCAAAAAAAAAAAAAAATAAAGTAAATAAATATGATAAACGTTTAAAAACTTTTTATCTGTATTGTTCGAGCAAATTAATAAGTTTTATTTTTGTCCTTATTATTATTATTATTATTCATAAAAATTATTAATCATCATTTCAATAAAAAAACTTATAGATACAAAATAAAACAAATGATAAACTTTGTTATTTTTTGTGTTATGCTTGTGACTCATTAAATAAAATAAAATAAAATTTATTTTAAATTCATTCGTTGAATTATGTATGAGTATTTACATGTAAAGAATGAACACAAATAAAATTTTTGTGATAAACTTGATCCTAATGTTAATATTTAATAATTCCGTCTGCTACCATCCGATAATTATAAATAATTTTCATCCAAAAAAAAATATTGACGTGAGCAATTATTATTATTATTATCTAAAAATAAATTAAATTCATTTAAATATATATATATATATATATTCATTCTGATACTTTGTCCTATAATTAATATCTATTGTGACCGAAAAAAAACTACCAGAAAGGAACAACTCCGACTCCCACTCCACCTTCGTGAGCACACATTGGGGATCCAAAAGACCAGGTATCGGTTTTCGGATCGTATATTTCAACCGTTGACAAATTTGAAACTCCATCGTATCCTCCGATTGCCCAAAGTTTTCCCATATTAGCTATAAGTGCAACTCTAGATCTTTTTGTATTCATCGGAGCTATGGGTTTCCAGCTGTATATAAATAAATAATTTGGATAACTTAATGTAAATTTTAAAATTTAAATTAAATTAAATTAATTTTTTTTTTTACCTTTTGTCGTTAGGATCGTAAACTTCGGCTGATTGTAGAAAAGTATAACCGTCGTATCCTCCGCAAGCATATAATTTACCGTTAAGAGTAGCTACTCCCAGTCTGCACCTTTTCGTAAGCATAGGAGTAACTTCCGTCCATTTATCGGTTACCGGATCATAACGTTCCACCTTAAGTAAAATTTTTTAATCCATTGAAAATTTATTAATAAATAAATAATTTTAAAAAAAAAATATTTGAAAAAATAATACCAAATCGAAAATGGTAAGTCCATCGTGACCCCCTATGGCATATAAATAACCATTAAATGCTAAAACTCCTCCGGCGCTTCGATGTTTATCCATTGAAGTTACAGATGTCCAACAGTCTTTGTCAGGGTCGTAACATTCGACGGTGTTTAGGGAACGAATACCATCAAATCCACCACAAACGTATAATTTATCATTTAATGGAGCTGCACCGACAGCACTAAAAATTTTACATCATTTTTAAATTGTCTTTTTTTTTTTTAAGCAAAAGTACAAAAGTTTACCAGGTTTTAAATACCTTCTTCTAAAATGCATCGAAGAAACTTGAGACCATATTTTTTTAAATGGATCAAACACTTCAACTGTTGCTAACCTTTCACAACCATTGTACCCTCCCACAGCATATAAAAGGTTTCTCATTACTGCTACTCCTACTCTTGATCGAAGCATACTCATCGCTTCGGAGACAGACCAATGAGCGACAACAGGATTGTATGATTCAACAGTGCTAAGAGCATTTCCTGTAAAATTTAATAATTTTAATTCATCAAAGTCAAATTATTTTAACGAAATACTTAAAAATGCATACCAAATTTTGCTAAACCACCAATGGCGAATATTATACCGACTACAAAATTACCACATCTAGGTTTGATTTTAAAACTCTGAAGTAAATTTCTTCTTTCAGGTATCAAATGATAATCTCTAGCTTCATCAAGTAAATCTCTAAAAAATAAAATTGATCAACAAAGCTTTTAAAAATATTTATAATAAAATAAATAAAGTATACCTGCATTCATGTGATGATCTGATGAGATCTTCTTTGGCAACTTTATCAGTCAGGTAGTAAGGATTAAGCAATGGCATTCTTATTTTAGATAAAATTTGTGGTAAATGTTCTTTCCTTAATTCGACATCTTTTTTAACCCATCTCATCACAGCCTCAAAAACTTGTTCTTCAGAATCGACACAAAGTTCATCCCTTCTGATAATATCTAATAATTCTTTCGCTGATAAATTATAGAATTCTTCTGATAAAGAAACTTCATAAAAATACTGTTGAATAAATTTTTCACAAGCTTCACCTAAAGATGAACAGCATAATGTATCTGCAAAACCTCTGATACCTAATACATTGCCTGCTTGAAACCTGAAAAAATGTTTATTCATTAGTATGTTTAAAAATTAAAGTTTTTAATTTGTGTTTCATTTTAAATTTTAAGGTTTCTATAATATAATCGGTAAAAAACAATTTACCTTTCTTTTAAGAAATGTGCACAAGCATTTTCTACTTCTTCTAATTGTAAAAATGATGCTCCAGCCATCAAAGATTGTACGGAATTATTATCAATTAAAACTTTACCACTATAAGAAAAATTAACTAATGCTTCTAAAGCCCTAAAAATTTATTTAAAAAATTAAATTATATATATATAAACATTTAAAAATTAAAAAAAAAATTTAAAAACATATATTACTCAAATTCTACACCAATAATAAATATTTCACGTGACGTTGTTTCCATCATTCCTGAAGTAAACATTGCTTGAAAAAAAGGAATGGTAGCTATCAAAACTATTTTGTGAGCTTTTAAACATTTTCCGTGAACCTAAAATTAAATGTATTTACATGCTTTTACAATAATGTTAATTTTTAATGGTTGTTTCATAAGGTAAAAAAAAAAAAAAAAATCATATTTTAACATCATTTAAATAATTTAAATAAAAATATGCATTTGAAGTAACTAACTAACATTTAAAGTAACATCGCAAAATATTCCATCACGACGAACTTTATTTAATTTTGAAAATGCTTTAGAAAAAAGATTGTCTTGCTCAAATAAAACAAAATCGTTTGATTCTTGTTTCATTTTTAAGCGTTTAAAAAACTAACGATTACATATACAATAGTTTATTAAAAACGACAATTTCTAGTTATAAGAGCTTTTATCAGTGGTCAGAGTCAAATGAAGTGTCAATAGAATCGGTTGTCGGAAGGTCGACACGAGTTTATTGAGTTTTTAGAAGACGGGTTAGTCAGTAACAAGCCATACTGATGTGTTGTTGTTATCTTGTTAAAGTGTTTAAATTATCGAATTAAAATATTGAAAATTGAAATTTATGACGATTAGTGTATTGTTGTACATTTTTTTTTGTTTAAATTAAGTAAATTTTAAATTGTTACAATTTGTAATTATTGTTACAATTGATAGTTTGTAAAGAGGGAGACAAAGCATCAAAATTTAATTATATCGGTATGTTTTTTTAAATGATTTTTAGCCGTTGCTTGGTTACAACTTTTTGCATGCTAACTGAATTTATTTGAAATTTGTTCATTTGATATTATTATTATTATTATTTATCCATATTCTTACCATCAATATCTTTAAATATTATTAATTTTCTTTGTTGAACATGGAACAATTCGTTAAATCAGTTTTAAACACAAAAAAACTTTCATAAAACTTTAAAGATTTAATAAAAAAAGGAAAAATTTTCAAAAGTGCATAAAATTTGAATTCTTTTAAAAAAATGTGTTTATAAATTTATAATTTTATTGCAAATTTTAGTCAAATTTTAAATTATTATTTTTAGATGGTATCAAATTAAAACATTAAATAGGGCAAATTATGTATAAATTTGGATTCATTCCAAAATAAATAATAATACTTTTGAAATAAGAACCCCCTTTTTTTTTTTCTTCTTCTCACTTTTTCAAATTTGTTTACTTAATATCAATGTGTGTACTTAAATAATGTAACAAACAATTCAACAGCAACAACAAAAAGTAATTTAAGTTTAACAGTTTTTTTACAATTCGTGGTGGTTTTTGTCATCATTTTCTATTCGAATCTCTCATTACATAAAAATATCTCTTATATTTTCCTATTTTATCGAAATGTATAAAATTTTTCTTCTGCTCCTCTTTGTTTATGCGTGGGAAACACGTTTAAAAAAAAAAAAAAGGTTTAATTATTAAACTTTGAAATTAGAAAAAAAAGTTTTTAATAACATTGAATCGATCATTTTACACAATAATAATAATAATAATGAAGTGGAACATGGTGTTAGATTGTCTAGAATGTGAAAGCAATCTAATAATGAACAATTGATCAAAGTAAAAGAAAATTAAAATTATTATTATTATTACTTTACCCTGCTTTTACTTTTAAATAATTTATTTTTGCGACAAATGTATGATTATCATGTATGAGATTTTCAAATTTTGTATTGTAATTTTTTTTAACGAGTTAAAATTGCAATTACAAAATCAATAGCGAATCAAGTCTGATCACACACGCACACACACACACACACACATACCTTTTTTTTTTTTTAATAAGTTAATAAGCGAATGAAAACAAACAAAAAAAAATTAATTTTTGTTTTAAAGAAAGTTATTCAACCGATAAAATTAATGTGAATTTTTTGTCGTTGTTGTTGCCTTGATTTTACAATTTGCATATCTTTTTTGTTTGTTTGTTTGTTTGTAATCAATGTTTTGCCTGAAAAAGTATTGTGCAGTAATTTTTAGTTAAAAAAAAAAAAAAAAAAATAGATTAGTAATCTAGTGTTCGATTAGTCAGATACTGATTGTATAAAATTTAAATACTCTAAATATGTTTTTTTTAATTTTTTTCTAAAAAAATTTTTTTTTTTTTTTTTTGCAATCATTTTTTTCACAGCTGAGCCATATTGATGAATGTGAATTTTTTTTTTTTTTTTTTTTTATTTGGGTTGCCCCTATTATTATTATTATTATTTTTATTAAAATGTAATTTTTTAGCAATTTTTTTAAATGCTTTAAAATTTAATTGTTTTTGATGTATCATCAATTTTGTTGTTGTTGTTGTTGTTGTTCCCCCTCCCCATCGTGTAAATTTTTTAAACAATAACAATTATTATTATTATTTCAAGGTTATTAGAGAAGTATTTAATTTAAAAAAAAAAAAAAAAAAAAAAAAATTTGGAAAAACCTTTGAATTATTTTTAATTAAATTAAAAGATATCTTTTTTTTATTTCTTAAGGGAAAAACTTTTTTTTTTTTTTTTTTTTTTTGTAAAGTTTGTGTTAAGGTAATGATGATGATGATAATAATAATTATTATTTTTTTTTAAAATCTTGAATGGTTAAACCAGAATATTTAAAAATAAAAAATAAATCCGACACTGAAAAGCTTTTTGCAATTACAAACAACGGTACTTGGTTGTTGCAAAAGAAAACTTCTTGTCTTACGAGGGAGAACCATTAGACCGTAATGAGTGAGAGAGAGAGAGAGAGAGAGAGAGAGAGCTCAAAGATCAAGTTATTCCCGGTTGTTAATGTTTGTTTTATTTCGCATAAATGAATTCTTACCAAAATAATCGGAGATTCTCTTAATGTTTGTTTGTTTGTGCATGAAATTAAAATATGGCGGATTTAATGAAATTACTTTATAAAATATTCATGGATTCGCTATTTTTTAAGCAAAGGGGGAGGGGGAGGGAAAGAAGAAACGATACGCGATGATCACTGAACTGTGTAAGAAAACGAAAGTGAGAGTGAGACAGAATTAGAAAATCGATTTCGACGACCACTAATGCTTAACCATAATAATGATGATGATGATGATAAATCTGGGGGGAGGGGGGTTTACCATCGCAAAATGTAAAAAGCAAAAAGAAAAAAAGAGAGAAGGTTGTGTGAAACCGTACGAAAAATAATAATAATAATAATAATATAAAACTTTCCGTTAAGGAAAAGGCAAAGGAAAAGGAGGGAAGGAATATTCCAGAAAGTTCGGGGGGGAAAAAAAGATTAATAAATAATTTTATTTAAATAAGGGAGGGGGGAGGAAACATGAAAACAATTTGATTGGGCGTTAATAAAAATTAATATAAGTTAACCTAGTTTTTTTTAAAAAATAGTTTATTAATTTTCTTTCAAAACTACGAACGTTAAAGCCCTAATATTATCATTATTATCATTACATAGAAATAATCATGGAAATTTTATTGTTTTTTAATATTTTAATTTCCTTAATTTTATTATTATTTTTTTTTTTTTTTTTTTACGAAAGTCGTTACGATCTTGAGAATAATAATGTTTTGGTTCGAAGAATAATAATAATAATAAAAACAAAGAATAATAGGTAAATGGGCTGCACCCGGATGTCGTCCCGTTTCTTACTACGGTTCCAGTTTAAAAAAAAAAAAATTTTTATGTTGCTTTATTGTTATTGTTATTATTATTATTATTATTACTAACGCATTTATTTTCGGCTTTCTATTTTGATTAATTACATTATATATATATATATATATATATATATATATATATATATATATATATATATATATATATATATATATATATATATATATATATATATATCTTTGTCGTAGCTTTTCACTTCTCCGTTATTTTGTGCGTGTCTGTGCGTGTGCGTGCGTGCGTGCGGGTTAATTGTCACACAATTCTGGGGTAAAATAATAAGGTCACAAGTTATAATTAAAAGGTATTGATTGGTTTCGATTGATAATGCGAGTTCAATAAATGTCTTTGTTTGTGATCGATAAAACTTAAAATAATGGGAAAAAAAAATTGTGAAAGGCAAATCATCATCATCATCATCATTAGAGTTCTTTTATTTCTCTTTCTCTCTCTCTCTCTCTCTCTCTCTCTCTTTCTCTCTCTCTCTCTCTCTCTCTCTCTCTCTCTCTCTCTCTCTCTCTCTCTCTCT